TTCCTGACTAGCTTTAAAACTGGAACTGGAAATACATTGGACCAAAATCATAATATATTGAATTTTATATGAATTAAAACTGAGCATAAAAGAGACTGGCAACCAGCATAGTACAAGCATTTCAAAACTTTGCTGCAGGAAGGAAATGTATGGTTCAGAATTTGCTTCTATTGTTAATTCCCTAGGTTGCCCTAGAGATGCCATCATTGGGCATCAGCCTTTGCATATCTCTTGCCGTTATTTTCACTATAGAAATGCTGGTCAACTTTACAGAGCGTGATGTAAAGGTTTACATAATATCACTACAAAGCACTAAACCTAAGAGAATAATTTCATATTTGTGTGTATTTGTGTCTGCGTATGAATGATACCTATTCAAACCTTTTTCTCCAACAGTAATTTGGAGAGTTATTAATTTTTACATGATAATGTAGTATGAGTATGCAATATTTTAGTTCTGTTCCTTATGCTTGCTTGCAGAAAAAGCAAGCAAGTAACACACTTGTAAGGTTTATTGATCAAGAACATGTTTCTTAATAGTTTATTTCCTTATCAAAATATCTGTTATGTATCCATTGTTACCCGTTCCCAAGCAGAATTTGTTCTTACCTAAAATTGCTTTTATATTTTATTTGAAGCCATAGCATATATGAATTTTAACATATCTTGCTGGATGGACTGGAAGCTGTAGGTAGCAGCATTTCAACTGATGGTGTCTTTAAAAAAACAATTGCATATTAAATAAACTCTTTTTCAAGTTTCAGAGTAGTTGGCGTTTACAGTGTCAAGGTTCCGCTAAACAAGACCAAACAAATCAGAACTCCAAGGCTTGAAACTTCCTCAAAGAACATGTTTATTGGTTACATAGTGTCAGCAAGGTCAGACGTGAAACCAAGTCTGAAATTCCCTCCAAAACTAAACAATATTACAAAGTTCAACTTCCCACCCCAATACCATGCAATCAGCTACGTTCCCCAGTAGAATAGCTTGGCAGGCTTTCTAACCAAAAGCTCACGTCCCCACCTAACCGACCTTGGTTCCCACAAGACAGAAAAATGTTTAGACTAGTAAAAATCCCCTGCATCCCCTCTCATTCTTGTGCAACCTAGAATGAGCAAAATGGCTGCAGCCAGGTTTGTTGTAGAATTGACAGATTATGATGTAATCAGACATTCTTGCTGAAATTATGGTGATTGTTGTGATACAGCATTTAACTCTTCAGTTCCTTCCTTGAAGATAGTGTGCTGTTTTTAGATCTTTTTCTGAATTCTATAAAAATTTCAACTGTGTTGGATTTAATCAGACACAGAGATGCAGATGTGCTTATGATCAAATAATTTTGCTCTAATCTTTTTGTAGAAGATAAATGATGCCGCTTTATAAGTCTGTAAGAATCAAGCCTTATTTTTTTCTGTAAAATATGTAATAGACTGCAATGTAAGAGAATTTGTTTAAATCCTTTATCACAGTTCAACAATCTAATGGAACAGACACTGTCAAAGCTCTAACCACAAATTGCATTATTTACTTTCTGCTCAGAGTTGTTTTGCCAACTCTGGATTGATGCATCCTTCTCCCAAACGATGTCAATGATATGCCCCCTTTTACAATTCTTGTCAATATTTCTGATATTTGGGGCCATTAAGGCCCAGTTGGTTTGGGGGAGCTCTATAGCTCCTTGTTGTGAGGAGCAGATCAGTTCCAGGTAGCTCTCACTTTGCAACCATTTGCAGTTACGACGGTAATTGAAAAGTAACTTTATAGCAATCCTTGCATTCATGACCTTAACAGGTCTGAAAGCAAAAGAAAACTGAAGTAAGATTATAAGTACAGTTGTGGTTTCACTTAGTCACCACTTTGCTTAACAACTACATTACTGGTCCCAGTTGTGGTTGCTAGACAAGGTTTGTCTGTCTTTGCTTTTGTAAAAAAAAAAACATAGCTTCTTCAAACTGTGCTCAAATGCTGGTGATTTCTTGGGCACATCTATGTCATTATCTTGGCAACAGTTCAGAAGTTAGCTTCCTGATTTCCTAATCTAGTGTACAAGCATGATAAATTTTTTGGGTGGTTTCCCTTTCAAGTACTAGCCAGGGATGTGCACCCATGCTGATAAATGGAACAGCATAATGAACCCTGCAAAGTACAGAGCAGTTTTAATGGTGGAATAGACCTGTTTCATTTATGTCCCAAACCAGTTCTTTTCTTCACCATGGACCCCCTTTAAAATACCTTTTGTGGCCACGGACCACCAAGACTTAACTCAAGATTTAAATCATAACATTTCTTCAGCCTTTGTGGACCCCCTGTGACGACGTTGCGGCTCCCAGGGGTCTGCTGACCACAGGTTGAAAACCACTGTTCTAAACCATCTCTCCCAAATGCTTTCAACAAGCCTATTTGAAATAGCATAATAGGATATCAAGGCTTTAGGACTACATTGCAGGAAGGACAATTGCTTAGCTGAAAATGTGTTAAGTATCTTCCAAACATATCAGATGCCTGTCTTACGAAACCCGATTTTACATTCATCTTGTTCAACCTGATTTTCTTTTATGAACAAAAATATAGTTTGATAATACTTCTCACAAGAAATGTTGAAAAAATGCAAATGAATATATTTATGTAACCATTTGTTCTTTCTTGCACTCTCTTTTTTGATTAACATTCCACAATAACCACCCAGTGAAATAGGTCGGGCTGAGTGGGAATCACTGATTCAGTCTCCCAGGGAGCTTTTGTGGCTGAGACTAAACTAGCATGTGGGTTCTTCACTTCTAATCCAACACCACTGCAAATCACAACACGGCTGCTTGTTACTGAAATTCAACAAAGGAAAGGGAAAGAGGTCCCCAATGTCATTTTATCTTTTATTATCTAAGGAAAATATGAAAAACAATTTAACAATTTTTCTATAGCAAGACAATTTTACCATCTTCAGCTAAGCAATAATCCTTCCTGCAAAGTGTTAAGTAGAATATTCCAACACCAATGGACAGAACATTGTAGAAGTTCATAAGAATCTTTTAGCATGAAATCCAGCACACATGCTATTATGGGTGATTTATGTTCTTCACCAGGGCTGCTTAGAAGAACCATTCAACTCCCCCCCCTACATCTTCTACAATCTACTGCAGTGGCATTTCTTCATATTAATGGGCAATGCACACAATAAAAGTAAAAGCATTCCATTCTGCCCTGTGTTCATGAAAGAACAGTGGCATGTTGATTATATGCATAATTAAAATGTAATTAACATTTAACTTTAGGTCGTTCACAAAAAGTGTGTATACTTTATGACAAAAAGAAGGAAATCTGTTGTTTCTATAGACAAGATGAAAGCATGCAAACAACTATATTGGCTGCCCCATATCCTAATCAAAGTGATCAGCTTGCATCCTGAGTTAAAGGACTACTTGTAATCTATTTCCATAAGTATATATATAGGGAATAGAAGCACCAAGCTGAAGACACCAGCCTGAAGATGACGAATGTGACTTCGTCGAAATGTTGCCAGGACACTTCCAATTTTACGTGGGAGAGAACCCGAATGACCAAAGACCTACATACAAACACTTCCTACAAATTTTATTAAATGTACATTTTAAAAACAAAAATGGACATGCTTCAACTTCCCTGGCTTCAACAGTGCTATTAGTATTACCTTATGTTACAGAAAGAAAAACAGAAACTTAAAATATATTCTTTAACAGGACAAAGTATAACAAACTGCATATAACATCTGTAAAATTTTTGCTAAACCATCTTTCAATCGTCATTCTGAGCGGCGTTTCAGCACAGCCATTTTGTTTGACAGCTGGCTCCGCCTCCTCTATTTCCATTCTCCTTTCTTCCATAGAAACAGCAAAGGAGAAAAAATCAGAGTGAGGGTGAAGGTGAAACTTGAAGAAGAAAAATGACAACGGAAAATAAAAGAGAATTTGGCACAATACAGGCGTACTAAAAGGGTTAATCTTCAAGTGGCAAGCAAATTCTTCCAAATCTTGTCTTCAGAGGAATCTGAACTTTTCAGCAGTGGTGTCGGCAGTCATTTTCATACCCTATTTTTTCTTTTGTTTTTAATCAGCAATTTAAAACACTTCCCCACTTCACACTCATATGCACTTCTACATATAAGCAACAAAAGGCAAAGATTTTATATCTACAAGTTATTATCCTCTAATCTGATATGGGATATTCATCTACAGAAAAACAATAGATGGAGATGCATGACCCAATAGATATCCCCAAGCTATTTCACAATGCTGCCACCTCATCTTCAACTTGAGTTTATCTTAGATACCATTTATTACTTATGAATACATGATCTTCTCCACCATGCCTGGCTCTCACTGGTCCTTGAAGATCCAGTTCTCAGAGACAAGATTAGATACATGAGATCAATGCTAGAATCCAAATATGGGATGAGGGATGGTTGCAAGATGCCCTCTACTATCATATATTTTGTATGGCTATATTTCCTCTGTATACATAGCAAGGGATCAGATGAACCTGCAGAGAAGTTGCAGTTCTACTCCTTCTGAAACTTATCTAATTCTTGAATGTCTTCATCAGTTTATGCATTGCTCTGGTAGTTAACTTACAACTTAATTAAAATGCAAACTGAAATACAGCACACAAAAAAACTCCACTAAGTGAAAATATATGATAAAACTTGATGTTCTCCTCCCTAGTCTTGAGAATCTTGGAAGATATATCAACATATATCTTGGTGTGGAAGATAGTTTTTCATTACACCAGAGAAATCAATTGCATAATGTCTGCTAAATTAAAGCATTTTTTTCAAGAGCTTTCTGAAATCTGAAAATTACTGTTTTGATGTCTGCAAATCTAAGCTCAGTCTAAACAGAAACCACTTCTGTTTAAATGAGTCACAACTTGGAAGGAAAGCTTCTCATGTACACAACATACTTTATGTTAGCATTTATATTACTTTGGCTTCAGAGATTTGCTTACACTTAAAAAGGCAGGAGTTTTAAAGCAGTAAAAAATTTATTTTAATTTTCAACACTCAATACATGTGATCAATACATGTGACCTTACCAAAGAAATAAGATTGCTTCAAGACATTTCTAACCAAATTTCAGGCTACAGCAAATGGTTATGCAAATCAATCTCTGGACAACAGTTTATTTAGAAGTGCTGGCATCTCTAGCTACAACAGCATGTACTGTTCCTTAAATGGCTTTGGGCAAGTAAAATATTCCATATACAATGCAAAATTAAAATATTTTATCCTTGAATTTTCCATATTACCAAGTAGAATATGTTTCCATAATTACAGAATAACTAAAATCTTTCCCCCTTTAAACCAGCATTTTGCTTTCTAAACAAATATCTAATTTGACATTTTGTTCTCCATGTTTATAGAAGATTATTCAAGGTCCCCTTCTTTAGTTTTATGAAAGGGACAAAGAATATCTCTAAAAGATCATTGCCAAGGTTAGACTAAAAGTTAATCACTAAATACCAAAGAACTATCAGTTCATTGTTGGGTTGTATTAATGATAACAAATCAAAACATAGGACTTAAAACTCCCACCTATACCAGAAAGCAAAGAATTTATAACTGTATTAGAGCTCATTTCAACAAATAAGAGATTTTAAAACTCACAAAAATAAAAACAAGTCATTTACAAGAGCAGACATGCACTATGCTGATTTTAAATTTGCAATGCAGAATTAAATGCTACCCAAGAGATAAGTATCTTTCTATTACAAAACAATCAGATTTTATTTAATTCAAGGTGGTCAAAGAAAACCTATCAAATGAAACGCAGGGTAATGAATTCTGCAGCCAATGGTGAAATGTTAATAAATCTGTTACTGATGAATGTAGTGAACAGATTGCTCCTTATAGCATTTACCGATTATACACATTGATAAATTATCAGTTCAGGATATTACAAAGCAACATAGTACATTTCTACAGCCTCTTGCTCGTTTTAAAATAAGCACATCTGCATTTTTTTCTCCTGAGCTCTGAAGCACTTCTATTTTGAGTCAGATAAGGCCCTGTAGCTACTGATACTGTATGTTTGAATTTTCTACTATGCTGATGTGTGTTCTTTGTAAAGGCTAAATAATATAGCTAGAGAAAAACAATTTAATTCTGACATGTATGTGGAGAAGATGAAAAATAATATTTTGGACAATGTAATTATCCCTGGAAAGGAAATGATCAGACTCATTACGTTCCACAATGAAACAAGTAGACAACCAAACAGAAACAGTATCTCCTTTCAATCATTTACTAAACTGAAGTACAGAGATAACGGAGAACATATAGTACATGTGGCAGTTTTTCTTTAGTCCCAAGAAAGGGGAAAAAACTTTGAGAAAACATGCATAATGAGAATATTTTATTCATGAAGAACATGACCCTATTTTCTTCTGTTTGTCCTCCATCATATACATGGCAAAGGCGGTATGCTGCATCTAAGTCATTTATGCACACCCAGAGTCTCAAGAACATATCTATAATGAGGAAAGTATTAAAGGTTGCAATCATTTATTTATAAGCCCCTGAGCAATTTTTCCCTAGAGTTAGGTGAAAAAGGCAAAAGTGAACAAGATATTTCTTGTTCTTTAAGTGCTTTGTGCAACAACATTTGGGGAAGTTATTTCTGAAGTCCTTTTTCTTTAACAAGGAGGAGCATAGTTGGATTTCCTGTTCCTGAACCTTGAACATGTTATAGATATTTCTCAATGCAGTTCATTCCAGTTGTATTTCAGACACAGTGAAGCACATCTGCATTTTTATAGCTTTTTGCTCCCTTAATCCATGTTTTCAGTTCTGCAGTGTGTGAAGGAAATGCTTGAAGGGAGAGTGTCTCTTCACAGTGGTGTCATCTGGGTGACACAGTGGGACTAGAGAAAGAGCTGGAATTTCTTGGTGACTGAAAGGCCATTGGTGGAGTACCAGGGGACAGTTTTCTTGGACTGCAAAGGTCCCCGTTGTGTAGCTTCCACAAAAGTTCTTCATTTTCCATCGATAGGCGTTTATTTACCTTGGATTCTTTCTCCAAAGATTCTTGCAAAACTGCTTGTTCAGTGGAAAGTTGCCTGTTTGGTTTAAAGGGGAAAGTACAAATGAGATCTTCTCACCTTCAAATTCAAATAGATTTGCCCCATTCTTCTTTTAGAACATTCACAAGCTACAAAGGGTTCCACCCTTCCCTGAGTGGGTAGTGGTGGTTCTTTCAAAACCTATGAACTCTCCATTGAATTAGCAGTAGATTATCCCCCTTTCAAAATTACAAACTTGGACAAATGAAGGCTCAGTTCAGCACAATGAAATCCTTAACTTATTTCTCATTCTCTTCAATCTTATTGGCGCCCATCTATTAGAGGAAACTTATAATACTATTAGAGGAATAATATAGTAACTGTAATAGGATTTTCTACTCAGATGCTTATAGAACAACTAATTTTTCACAGGAAAAAAGGCTGGGAAACTTTATCATGCTCCACTCTCATTCCTCTTAGCTTAAAGTGATACTATCATTTTCACCCTTAAGATGGAAAGGGAGGTAAAACTGAGCAATTTTCTATACCCCCAAATGACAGAGCATAAAATCTGGAGCCCCTGGTAATAAAGAAATGTACACACAAAATGTTTTTCTCCCAGATGCAAGAATGATAGCAAGTAAACAAAGATATTGTTTTGATTGTCCCCAGAGAACATTATTTCAGTGTACTGGCCTTCAAAAGATGCTTCTACTTTTAGCAATAGGCACAATCTATTGAATAATTATGGCTGTGAAAGTTGGACCATAAGAAAGGCTGAGCGACAAAGAATTGAGGCCTTTGAACTATGGTGCTGGAGAAGACTCCTGCGAGTCCCTTGGATTGCAAGGCGTTCAAACCGGTCAGTCCTAGAAGAGATCAACCCCGACTGCTCTTTAGAAGGCCAGATCCTGAAGTTGAAACTCAAATACTTTGGCCACCTAATGAGAAGGAAGGACTCACTGGAGAAGAGCCTAATGCTGGGAAAGATTGAGGGCAATAGAAGAAGGGGACGACAGAGAATGAGGTGGCTGGATGGAGTCACTGAAGCAGTAGACGTGAACTTAAATGGACTCCAGAAGATGGTAGAGGACAGGAAGACCTGGAGGAACATTGTCCATGGGGTCGCGATGGGTCGGACACGACTTCGCAATTAACAACAACAATTGAATAATTCTGCCGGATTGAAGCAAATGCATTTTTATGCAGTTGGTGCTACTCTTGTTTATTTCTAATTCAGTCCCACTTTATTAAACAGCTTGTATCATGGCTTTATCTGCATATATCTATGATATTAGGATCAAATGCACACTTCCCCAAAGTGAGTTTTAGTGTGGCTGCCAGAGCATGACTGAATTATAATTTTTAAATGGGCCAGAGGAGAAATATTATTAAGTATAACAGGAATCATTATATTTCTCTATTTAGTTAATTTAAATCACATTCAAGTTTATTTACTGCAACTATATTTATTCATCCTGGTCTTATTCATTTTTTAATTACTATTCTTGACATGTCACTCAAAGTCCAAGGCAATTCTGGAGAAAGTTTGCATGCACCCTGTTCTAAATTTCCCCATAAAGCATAGGAATCTAGAGATTGGCCAGCTAGAGTTGAGCTTTTAAAATACCTGGAAAGTTCCATATGTTTGTCCATCCGAGCTTTTAATCCTTCATTCTCCTGTTGAATTTTTCTCATTTTCTCTACCAGGGCAGTGTTGCTCTCCACCTTAGATAAAAATTCGAATTGGACATTTTTTTTGTTTCACCAACACAAGGGAATATTGCTCTAATGCATCAATGTTGCTAATCCTCTGAAACATTTTTGCTAATTCCAATTAAAAGGTTATCCTGAATGTTTATTTATAAAGAGTAACCTAATAATGGGAATAACTCTGTTGGTCTGTTGCCCCTGACAAAGTGCACTACATATAGTTTTTAAACTGCTACAAAACAAATATTTTCAATAAAATCCAAAAGACTGACAGTTTTTTAAATGGATCAACAATGTCTATTAGAACAATGCAGGACACTTATAGCATGATTCTTTAAGTACAAGACATGAATGCAAAATAAAAATATGACTCCAATAAATTGAGAAATATTTTTGGCCTCAAGACAGGGTATTTTGAGCTCAAACGTCAGCTATCAATGAAGATAATTCTTCTTTCTGATTAATAAACAAGAATTCTTAGGCCAAGTAATTATCATTTTGTTCAAGAAAGCAAGAAATAATTTATATTACATATTTTAAACATTCAGACAACTGTGCTTTATCTTTGTAATATTTAACCAGCAATGCTTATATTCCAAAAAAGGGTAAAGTGGATAGAAAATCACAGTTGGCCTCCAGGCATATTGTAGATTCATGGCTAATAATGAAATCTGAACCAGCAACTTCAATTTTAGCTAGTGCAGTGGACAGGCTTTACATGGGATCACAAGCTTGTGCTAAAAGCTTATCCTCTCTCAAGATTAATTTTCCTTCCTGAAATTAGTTACAGGCTAATTTATATGTATTTGTCCCATATTAGAGAATATTTTTGGTGCCTGTTCCCAATTTCATACTTCAGTGATTTAAATCTTTTTGCGCTGTCAGCACAAAATGAGATTTTGGAGGCCAGCACTTCAATGCAAAACTTACCAGTTTTTCCATCTTCAATAGTTTGTTATCTTGCTGATGTAATTTCTCATTCTTGATTTCCAATACTGCTTTCAAACTTTCCAATTCTTGTTCCAGATACATAATCTGAGGATTTTTCTGAAAATTTATGTACAGAGATGTTTAGGAAGGCCCCTCAAAACTGCCACGTGTTTTACATTAGGTATATGATATATTGACTGGCTATGGATTTTCTTCGCTATACTTGGGGGCAGGGGATAGGGGAAAAATATAGACACTTGCAAACCACCATAGAACTCTTCATAAGCACCTACCTGGAATGGAGAAATTTATGAAAATTGTATTTGTATTGGCTGCAAATATCCTCGCATTGCCCAATTCCAAACAAACATTACTTTTGTAACTCCACAGGGATTAAGCTATGCTGAGTGATATCTTTTATTAGGACCAACTCAAATGACACAACATGTTGTGTGGATTTTCGAGTTACCCAGATATTTTACCAGATAAGAACTCAAAAGTTTACACATTCTTTTGCACCAGTATTTTAAAAGTTATGTTTTGGATTTTCTCCTATCTTCCTCCAATCAAGATGGCTAAGATAGTGTTTTACCTATATGCAGATCATATTCAGAGGCTGAGGTATGCAGCATTGCATAAGGCAAAGATCTAAATGGAATTCATAACCATAAACGTGCTTCAAATGGAACGTCCTGGTTTTAGGGATTTTGCTGTCAACAGGAGAATTAAGCAGGAGTGATTGAGCAGTGTGCCCATATAACCACTGTGCATTATTCTATCAAATGATGGAATGCTTTAAACTGTGTTTTCATTTTAGGCGGCAGAAGAGGGAGGATACAAAATCCTGCCTGAGACTCATTAAAGCAGCCACATCTGTTTCTAGGTTCATGACGCTGCAATAGAAACATTGCCCTATGATTCTGCGTGCAAAATAAATACTTTGAATTCAGCTATGCATGTTTAAGTACACTTAATATTCATCCATTTGAAGTGACTCACTGATATATAAATGGTATAAATGTTGTTCTTTCCTGAAAATGCTTTGCTTTGGCATTTGTGTTACTTGTCCTATTTATTGAAAAAAATAGAACATTCCCCAATATTTAGGACAAAAAACATTTTTGTTGGATCAGACACCTCCCACCAGCTTTTGCAGAGAATGTTGGGAGACAAAACCTGAAGTAGACAGAATTAGGATTTCAGTGATATGGTGGTAGTGCTTCAATGGTCTTAAGGCAGGGGTGAGCAACCATGGCCCCTTTACGACCTGTAGAATTCTGGGAGTTGGAAGTTCACAGATTACATAGGGGCCATAGTTGCTCACACCTGTTTTAAGGAATGAAACTGTACCTTAAGCTTCTGCAAGCTTTGCATAGTTCCTAATTTCCCCCACTCCACCCAGCACAAAGTATAATAAGTTTATAGTTTGCACTCTATGAAAGTATTAAATCAATTGCAGCTTCTGGCCCATGTTTTTGCACCCAGTCACAGGGTTTGAAAAGAGTCTGACACCAGTGAAAGATTTCTACATTTATAATTTACAATATATACAATCCAATACCTTACTTACAGAGTTTGCTTTTTCTTTGGCTATTTGTTTTTGTTCTTCCAACTTGAGCTTTTCATTTAAGCAATCATTTTCACTTTGTAATTCAGCTATTGTTTTCTGAAACATTAAATACAGTCCAATATAACAACTGAGCCTCTAACATAAAGCCAGGAATCATTTTAAAAAATACTATCAGAATAAAGTAAATTGGTAGAAGTTAGAAATAAATATGTGCTAAGATTCTTAATACTAAAAGCTGGGCCCAGAGTGATAAAATCTGTTAATCCCATCAGTATAAGCAATAAATATGTTTAATAAAAACTAAATTGCTGTGCTATATTAATAATGATCAAGTATAAATATGGATTTTTTAAATGAGAAAAGTAAAGGTAAATTTTTCAAATAGTGGAGGAGCATAATCTTGAAATAGTTCACAGAACTGTCTATGTATTAACAAACTTTAAAAAAATTCAGACCTCCAATTCTTCTTGTTTCTCATGGAAAGTTTCTTCAAGTGACTTTCTTTCTAATTCATGGACAGCCTGGAGTCCTGAAAAAAATTAGAAGTTTATTATTATGAGGAAGATTCCCTAACATGCCTTTATTACAAGTCACAGTAGCAAAAGATCAGGTTACATTTCAGTTAGAAGTAGAAAAATCTTGTATCCGTAGAAAAAAAATAATCAGGCTTTTGAATGATTTTAGATCTCTTTTCTAACTATAACATATTTAATTACAATCATGGGAAAGAAATGAGACAATTTACCCGAAAAAGAAGATTCATATTCCTTCTTCAACTCTTCTATCTTTTCTGCATGACTGGTTTCAAGTTCTAGCTTAAAATTTTCATGTGTTGTATTCAAGTTGTCAACCTAAAACGTTAACCATATTTATAAAATGTTTAAAAAACAATATATATAAAAAAATTCACAATTCTTATTTTGGGACAAGTAATAATTTGATTTTTTTGAACCCTATATAAATGCAGCTTAAAAGCAAATTACAAAGGCAAGTCAACCAACCAACCAAAACTAAGCCATTGCTATGGCATTACCAGGGCTCTGCAGGAGATCAGTTCCCAGCCTCTTCAGATGCTTCAGAACATTCTCTTAAAGTGCACCTAATTAGGGAGGGAGCATCTTATCAATTCAGAGAGTCAGTTTTGTGCAGTGTTAAGACACTAGGCTAGAAACCTAGTGCCTTCTAATCACACCTTAGGCACAAATCCAACTAGATGAGTGTGGTTCAGTCAGTCTTTCTCAGCCCTAGGAAGCAAGCAATGGCAAGCCACTTCCAAAAACCGTGTCAAGAAAACTGCAAGAACTTCTCCAGGCAGTTTCCAGGAATCAACACTGACTCAAAAGTATGCATGCACGAACACACACAAAGCAAACTAACTCTATAAGTGTTCCATGAGCCCACAAAGCCATAGGGCTTTGGCCTAACACGGGTTAATCATGGTTTGCAACATGAGGCCATCCTAGAAGGCTGCTACATTTCAATAAAGTTCTTTATTGCAAAATGAACAATAAAGTTGACTTTGTGAATATTTACATATTTACATAGACATTTTTAAACTCCTTCACTGTCAGGGTTCCAGATGAATGCATTAATGTAGAAGCAAACCTTAATTAAATATTGCAACAATTAAGCAATTATGCTAAGAAAATGCTCCATCCAACTCCACTAACCTGCTCCTGAAGTTGTGCTTTGTATTTTTCAGCTTCTTCTATGCAGATACTCTGAAGTTTTTCACACTCAGCTGTGTAGAACTGTTTCAGCCGCTCTTCCAATTCCAATACATCACTTTGGTGCTGTTGGTTCAGCTTCTGCACAAACCCTTCATAAGCTGCTTGCAATTCAGTTCGGTCTTTCTCCAATTTCTCACAGGCAGTGGTAGTAGTGACTTGATACAATAAATAACAATAATTTCTTCTTACAAACATATCTTTGCCTTCTTTTTTTTTCAAAGAAAATACTCAACACAATAATTTTGAACACAATTGCCAGGGAAGAGAGAAACAGTATACCTTTAATTTACTAAGGGCTAATTATTTCCAGGTTTAATCCTAAACATACCTCGTTTAAAAGAGGATTGAATAGCAGCTAATAGAAATATCTTGCCAGAAAAGTTGAAAAGCTACTGATAATCTTGGCTATATTACCAGTCATTTACATGATTTACAGTCATGTACATCATCCCTCATTCTTTCCAAATACATAGCATCTGTATCCAAAACAATACAGCTGATTCAAGACACGTCTCAAATAAAGGTTTAACAAGGCAATAAGATTTTTTTCCAGTAAAATCTTTCTCAGTGCTATCAAGTTGCTTAAAATAGGATTTGAGAATTCTCCCTAGAAAGGACACTGTCTACCTAAATGATGTTCTTGCCTTGTGGGATGTATTCAGTTTCTCAGAAGTTTCCAGTACTACTGATCTGACCTTGCTACTAATTCAAGCAGTGATCCCAGAAACCAAAATTGGGCAATCCATCCATGTGGGATATTGCAAGTGTCCAATTCTTTGTCATATTCTTTTACACCTTTGTGAAACTGCTGGGAGAAATTGCTAGGTCATGAAGCATAAGGATTTTTCAGTAGAAGTTCCTTACTTAGCAGAATTCTCCCTCCCCTACCCCAAAATATGCAGCCCTGCTATTCAAAACTATATGGAAGATTGTGTGCACTTCTGATCTATAACTTTGATCTCTGGTAATTATTCTACACTGGCAAAAATTATATTTTAAACTGTTACACAGACAGATAACACAGTCTTTTTGGACAAAATTATTCAAACTTTTAAGTGGTTGATATATTTTTATTCTGCTTTTCCTTTAGTTTAGTTCTTGTGGATTGTTTCATTGCCTAGTTTTTGTGCTTTTCTGGGCAAAAATATGGTGTACATACAAACAAACACACACACATTCACCTTTATTGATAAGAATAAACATTTTAAAAGCTGTTTTGAGAGTTTCCAATTTGGTGGCCATAGAAGTCTAATAAATAAGAATACTTTTTATAAATTTAATCCTGTTCCTTTGTCAAAGGACAATTAAGGAAAAGTCAACTAAATGAATGTGATGTTAAACTAACATATGTTAAACTACTTTTTTTTTTCAGGGGATGGATACAGGTGTTCCTGATAAGTATGAATCAATAAATTTCATCATCTAATCCTTGAAAATGATTATTGACTGGTTAATATATAGAATTACTATATGCTCTTTCCAAATGAACAATGAATTTTCATTAGCACTGATGATGTTATCTAGTTTAGGTAATGAAACGTCTGCAAGAAAACAACCAAGCTCAGAGAGTTCTCAAGACTCATCAATGAAGAATTTCTACAACTTACCATTTAACAAACTATTGCTTGTACTTTGTAGTTCTGCTATAGTTCTATGTCAAGGAAAGTGACAAGTGATGGCACATGTAATTATTTTTTAAAAAGTGATATGACCTCAAATACATCTGTGTCTTGAAGTAAACCAGCGCAAAAAACAGGCACAAGAAAAACTAAGATTCTACTTTATAGGTTACTTATAAATCTTCTCTTGACAACCTAATGTCTTCATGTTTTCCAAGCGGTTTCTGCACATTTTCTTCAAGGCCTACATATTTGGAGGCAGGGATATCTGGTCTTCCCCAAATCTCTAGCTTTTAACTGTGGGATAAAACTTGAACTTTTGTTTTCAGTGTGACCTCAAAAGCTGAAATTATCAGCATGCATCAGCCAGATGTACTAAACAGGAACAATCTCAGATAGAGCACCAAATAGTCTAGTGCTATAAGAAGCAGAAATTGAAAAACACCTGGAAGGCACTAGGCTGCCTGCACCTGATTATTGGATATTATCAAAAACATCTGGAAGGGTCCAACTTCCTGAAGAAGAAAGGAAGTGGACATGAAACAATCTCGTCATTCTGGGATGCTTTCATATCTTTCCAGGATGAAATTTTATGCATATTAAAGAATAAGAAAAACATTTAAAAATTGATTTAAAAAGAATTTTATGCAAAAAGCTAAAATATGCTTATTTATTTCAAAAGGCACTAATCCAGCCCTAAATAAGTCAAAATTGTTTGCAGGCCAGAAAATTACTTGGCTTAATAACCAGTCATCATGGTTCCTATTTATCTGCTCTATTAAGGCCTCTAGCATATGAAGGAGGATTAGGAAAGGGAGGGTTCCTTCTTTCATTTGCCATGGAAACTGAAAAAGAAAACATGACTATCACCTGCAGTTTGGACAGTTTGGACCTGTTTTTTGGCTTCTCTAAACCAGAAAACAAATGGGGAAAAAGAGAGGAAGAAGAACATGTATGGTGCTGGGTGACCTTTTGCTAGAGAAGGAAGGACATCTGGCTTGGCAAAACAATTTCAGGACAGGACAACTATTTGGGGGAAAAAGAAGTCAACAGAACTTTTTGAATTCAGGAAACCATATACTAACTATAACTGATCTTAGTCAAGGACTTGATCATAGCATTTTGGGCCAATTATAAGTGCTGACATTTTCCAGGAGATTCCAAATAGAAAATGCTATAGTACAGGGGTGCCCATCCCCTGGTCCGTGGACCAGTACTGGGCCGCGGCATGCCAGCAACTGGTCCGCACAAACAAGCAGAGTCCCATCCACAGAATGCAGGCACCACACAAAACCACGCACCCTCTGGTCCATGGAAAAACCTCTCTCCATGGAACCGGTCCCTGGTGCCCAAAAAATTGGGGACCTCTGCTATAGTAGTCCTAATTGTAGACAGCTCATAGCTCTCTAGCTGTCAGTCTAGCGAAGTGATCCTGACAAGAAGCACAACTAGGAGTACTACATCTATTGTTATTGTAACGTTACATTAACAAAATCTTGGAAGACTGAAAGTATTTCTCCCTTCCTTTCCTTTTATGCCCTGGAAAACTGAGGAGCATTTCTTCTGAAACATTTCCAACACATTTTCCACCCCTCTTCTGTGAGCTGAGATACTTTTTGCAAGCCAGATGTCCTATCTGTGGCTCTTCCTCCTGCCTCCCAACATCATTCCCAATACCATTATACTAAGTGTAAGTGCATTACTCTTTCACAGGAAAGCCCTACCTGTTAGCCCTGGCCTTCCACATTGACAGCTTAAACCCATTAATATACAGCAACTTAAATCTTCTGCAGGAATATAATTCCCTCTAATCTCTGTTGAATCTTTATTTCCTACTTTATTGTCCTCTAATTTATCTAAATCCATTTGTTTCCTTTCTCTTTGTCTATTATTGATATCAAAAACTAATTGAGCATGTGAATATTTTCTTTGGATTTTTATGGGAAAAGTGTATTTTGCATCCTGGTATCATAAAGCAGTAGGCAACTTCACACAGCATAGGGTTATATATCATAACCCCAAAGCCTGATATACATCTTAACACAAAATCAGATTCTTTCAGTATCACTTTCTACAAATGTTCCTTTAAAAATGACTAAGCTTTTGTTATTGGTTCCAAGATCTCCATGCAGAGATGGATTGACACCAGAGAAGGAACCAAGTAAAGGAAAGTCTGGATGCTTTTTCTATAGTGTTGGTGCCCACCAGACCAGGGGTGATCCTTGGTAGTTTGAACCTTTAGTTAACCTGCTTTGTCAGTGGGGAAAAAAAAGTAGCATGAGCAGTGGCAGGTTCAAGACAGCTTACCAGAACATTATCCAGGGTACAGAATAAGCAGCTGTTCTTCTTCAAATAAAGCCAGAAAGAAGTTCAACTTTGCATGCACAGACCTGATGTCTCACATGTAGAATTGTCCAGCTGCTACAAAAATCCCCACACAATTTAAGCCATTATTACAAAAAGGGATTGTTCGCAAAATTTTTAGAATTCATTAGCACAAAAAAATACTATATATGTTGTGGATTTTTTTAAAAAAACAACAACCCTAAAGTTTCAAAAAAGGAGAAAAAAAATCATTCAAAATTGCTAATAAAAAATCTACAAAAACATTCATGATCACAATGCCATGCTTTGACAAAATTATCCTCCTGAGGCAAAGTAAGCACCATTAAGTCAATACACTGATTAAGTGAACGATAAAAATCTAATGTGTTTTAAGCAACTTCACACTGCAACTTGTTTCCTTTATGAAATTAAATCAAACCTATTCACAGATGTTCATAAAATAAAATATATTTGTTTTATGATGAGGTCCTGGAATTTTTTAATAAAATGATCACAATGTCAAGATAAAATATGTAATTATTTCAGGTGTTCAGACATTCAATTAGCCAGTATTACAGGTAATAAAAACAGTCATTTTTGTATCTACTGCAATAACATCTTGAAGCATACAGTTTTATTTTTATTCTTTTAATTTAGCTGAAAGGTTTTTAAAAAAAATATATGGGCACAATCAGTAATGAGAAATGAAAATTTCAGTCCAAATCTTCCTGTTACATTTTGAAAATGTTGTTCCCATCCTCAAATGCTCCAATTCTATTCATTTTATTCTGTCAACAGGGAAAAAAGCTTGTTCATACTCACTATACTTCACTATACTTCACTATACCTGAGATAGATTGATAATACAGATTGGTAGACTGTTATATCGGTCTGGAAGAGACATCTGCTTTCAGAAAATTACAAGTAATCCTCAACTTACAACAGTTCACTTAGTGACCTGTTTGAAGTTACAATAGCACTGAAAAAAGAGACTTATAACCGTTTTTCACACTTAAAACCATTGCAGCATCCCAATGTCATGTGATCAAAATTCAGACACTTGGCAACTGACTCATATTTATGATGATTGCAGAGTCCCGGGATCATGTGATCCCCTTTTGCGCCCTTCTGACAAGCAAAGTCAATGGGGAAGCCAGATTCACTTAACAACCATCTTACCATGTTAAGTGATTCACTTAACAACTGTTGCAAGAAAGGTCATAAAATGGGGCAAAATTCCCTTAACTATCTCACTTAGCTACAGAAACTTTGGGCTCAATCGTGGTTGCAAATCGAGGGCTATCTGTACATTGACTAAAAGAATATTTTTTCTTTTTCAATACTGACATAACGTCTTTTAATTTCTAAGACAAATGAATGGCCAGAACAAGCTGTATTTGTCAAAGTTTAAGATGAAGATACATCTTCAAATATTTGCATCATGCTACAACTTCAATGAGATCTTACTCTCATAAAGCTCATTTAGCTATTTCTACCACCAGCAAGTTGCAGACACATATGCAATCACACCCAGTTGAAGCCTTTTGCCTCAGTCTTGGTACTCCAATTGTATAAGAACAGAGAAGAAATAGCTATACAATGTAAACAGTTCTACCATGTGGACCAATTTCTCATAACACTAGAATTAGCTATTTAAAATTTCATGGTATTCCACTGTTTCCCAGTTTTCAAAATTGATTTTTATGGTCATATGACTGGGGTCAGAATATTTCACTCTAATAGCCATCCTTCAATTTTAATATACTTTAATGAAATATGTTTTTAAATTGATTATGGGTTCATTTTTGTATGCCACCCAAAATCACATGACTTGAGTTGAGCAGTCATATAAATGCCTGAATGAATACATAAATAAAATGGACTGTCACAATCAATTACTTTCACATCACTGAAATAGGTGCTATGATGTTATCCACAATAAGATCTTTTCAGGTGATCACACGCTATTCAATTTTCATTCACAGGTGATTCACAAGTAAAAAAAAAAAGCCCTTTTCCTTCCATCAGCTTGGATTTTCCATACTTCATGTAAACATAACACCTCATCAAAGGTGACACACAGAGTTACACTTTGCTTAAAAAAAGTTGCCATCCGTGCCTAATGCTTAATCCATTGATCAAAACTGAACAATGTTTGTTGCTCAACATCCTTATAGTATTAATGGACAAGAGTATAAGAGAAGAAAGAATGACCTCGAGGTTCCAACAGAAACACACAATAATCTGTTGGTACAAAGTGAAACAGTAAAAAACCATGTCTAGCTAACAAAGTCAACATTCAATTTTCATGTATATATAATTGTATTACTACCACTTGAAAAATAATCCCCTTAAAAATTTTATGCTTATGCATGATTTACATAAAAATCTTTTTCAGTATATTAAGGCAGAAGAAAGCTTCTTTATCTCATCTATTGTATGCTTTTAGTAAGAATAAGCTTTCAGTGCCAATAATTGATAATGTATGAATCATCTTAGATATGCTAAGGTACAGTAACATTTCTTGAATCTGTCACCCTCAAGATGTCTTGCTATCTCCAAATAGGTTCAGCCATATGTCCACAAATGGTGGAATTGTAGTCCATGTGCAATGAGACATCAAGTTAGAGAAGGTCATATGAACAGTGGTGAAAAATATAACCACTGCTTAAAATTGCCCTGAAGTTACTTGTCATTTGTTTCATAATAAAATATCTGAAATGACAAGGGACTTATAATCACATTTCACAGATTGAATGTCAATCAACTTATAGAGCAAATTGCTTAAGTATTTCACATATGTGATCTCATTGCCCCATTCCATTAATCAAATAGGCCAGTCTTAGTTATGTGTTAAAAAAGTTGGTTGAAATTAAGTGTCAGCAACTTGCCTTAGGCCAGCTAACAAGGACAGAGGTAAGATATAAAGCAAAACCAATTTTATTCTCTTACCCATAATGTTACAATCACCTTATGACTTAACATTAAATATACTAAAGCTGTTTGTTAAGATAAAATGCTCCTCTGGTGCATTTAAGATGGATCTCATCTGCCTTGAAGCAGTTAAGCCATTTAGTTTAAGTCAGTGGTTCTCAACCTTTTTAATGCCGCGATCCCCAACTGGTCATAAGTTGAGGACTAAACCGGTTGTAAGTCAAGGACTAAACCAGTCATAAGTCAACAACTACCCAACCGGTCGTAAGTCGAGGACTTTCCCTGCCCGGGAGCGCCGCGCATGCGTGGTTCCGCCCCCTGCGCCGGCCGAGGCGTAGCTGGCAAGCGGCAGAGACGGAGCAGGCTGACCACCAGCTGGCCCAGCTCAAGGGAGGTAAGGCACCCGCCAGAAAAGGGGGAAAAAATGGCAGACAGCCTTGCTTGGTGACCCCCATGAAATGGTCGATCGACCCCAAATGGGGTCGCGACCCATAGGTTGAGAACCGCTGGTTTAAGTGATGTTTTCTTAGTTTCTTGTTAATTTCACTGTGAACAGGCTAAGAGTGATACACCATTGTGAATAAAATACAGCACATGTTACCATTGTTTCCTCATTGTCAAAATGGACAATAATACCTTTATACCATTTAAACCATGGATGTTCAACTTTGGCAACTTTAAAACTTGTGAAGTTCAATTCCAGAATTCCCCAGCCAGCTATGCTGATGGGGGAATTCTGGAGTTGAAGTCCACAAGTTTTAAAGTTGCCAAAGTTGGACACCCCCTGATTTAAACCAACAAAAAGAAAAACATGCATTTGCACAGCCCATCTCATCATCCACTTTCCCCACAGTGGACATTTGGACCATCAGAGACATGTTTCCAGAGAAATTTTCTGGAAGCCAGATGACCTCAGGGTCATGGAATCAAGAATCTGGAAAAATGAAGACCACAAAGATCCGAACAGAATAAAGCGGGAGTCAGTGGGAGGGGGTCTGAATATGCTAAGTCAATTCTACAACTTGTTCTGGCCCTGCTTTGTTGCTCCATTTATCACTTTAAAAAGGAGGGAGGATAGCATTGATTAATACTTACCCAGATCTCCACGGAGGTTGAGAAGTTCTAGTGATAACTCTTTACGCTGGGAAAGCACTTCTTCTCTCTGTGGAAAAAACACAGCAGAGATACATATAATGTTATTGGGGGAAAAATACTTTTTAGTAGTTATATTTGTGGGCTATGTGCTAAACGACAGGAGCTTGTGGGGGGGGGGGAGATGCCAAGGTATGAATCATCCAGGATAACAGCTTTTTTAACACAGGAAAAACAAAGAAGGTTCTGAGATAAGGAAGCAGATGTGTTTAAATAAGGTTTTCACCTCTTGTTAACTACTTTAAAGTCAGCAAGACCTTAGTTTTCAGGTTAAGTGTGGACACTCTTAGGATTAAATTAACATCTTCTAACTGTATTCAACAAACTTGTAGGACCTCTTATTCATAACTTTGAGGGCCACACAGGAGTGACAAAGTTCAAAGTACTTAATAACAAAGATAACTAGAGCCCAAGTCTTCTATAGATTACAAAGCCAATTACAAAATTTAGAAGCAACTCAGTGTGTGTCACAGTTTCAGTCAAAACATTCTCTTAATCAGGATTGTTCTTTTCTTAATGCTAAAGTTGGTGCACTTTAAACATCTCAAAAGAATCCAGGTCCTTTTCTGCCTATTTCCAACTACTGAACTAGTTACAGGACACAGCTCACCCTGGAGTTCAATTAGACAAGAACCAAGCAGCCCCCTCTCCCCCCGCCCCACCCGTGCCAGAATCTATAAGGTGCAATGAACCCTCTGCCTCCTTCATGCAATCACTGCTTGGAGAGCTCAACATTGCAGAGATATCAAAATCCAGGCTCCCTGCTGCGGGAAGCATTTCACCTTGCTTGCAGCAAACCACTGCTGAAAACTCCTTGACATTATTCCAGAAGAAAATTACAGAACAAATACCAATTACCTTTTTTGCAGCACACGGAACATACAAGCACACTTTGCTGCTAGAGCAGCCCATCGTACAGCTTCGGTCCCCAGCTTGTATTCTGTCCCCAGCATATGCAGGCAGGAGTGTACAGGTGGCAAGCAGTACCACAAAGCAAACTGGTTGGGCCACATTTAACTCACAGCCAAGTCGCACTCCATTGGCCAGTGCCTGAGCTCGACTTCATCATGCTTTGCAGTTTACCGTAGTTCTTCTACTGGTCTCTCTGAATACAGAGAGACACACTCACTGCAGCCTCTGCACTTGGCACAAGCAGCTAGTGATTACTTAAAGCTACAGCTCTTTTGTTTCTGAAAAATGAGAGCCAGACATTACTAAGATCGATTGCCACTTACTCAAATATCAGTTGGTATAATGCCTGGGAGGGCCGGGATCAGGGAAAGAAAGGAGGGGGAGAAAACATCCTCCTGACCATCTCTATGGATAATGGGTTTTATTTTTAGCTTTTCTGAATTAGTTATTCTAGGCTTTTACTCTTAATTTATTAGACAGGCTGGTGGGGAAATGAGATGATGTGAGCTGAAAGAGGGGAAAAAAGAAAGAAACTTTGCCAAAATTTGCTTTATGTTTGTTATGCAGCTCTATTGAGTATACAGCAGTGAATGAAAGATATATAATCCTTTCAGGAGCTTCTCATTGGGATGGTGGGAGTGAAAAGAGCAATGTGAAGAGACGCAGGGATACTTTCATTCATATTTTAACCTCGGTTCCATACCGTAGATACTCTCGGCTCTAGGTTGTGTGGTTTAGTGGTTAAGGCATCAGACTAAAAAACAAGAGACTGTGAGTTCTAGTGCTACCCTAGGCATGAAGCCAGTTGGGGGACCTTAGGCCAGTCATTCACTCTCAGCCCTAGGAAGGAGGCAAGGACAAACCACCTCTGAAAATGTTGCCAGGAAAACTGAAGAGACTTGTCCTGGCAGTCACCAGGAGTGAACAGTGACTCAAAGGCACAGAATAATTTAAAAAGGTGATAGCCTTGAGTTGATCTCATGAGGCATCTAATCAGGAGCCAAATCCAGCCTTGCATTTATTGCTTAGATTAATGTATGAATTTGGTCACCAAGAATCTTTTTCCTTCTCTAATATGGTGACTTGTTATTTCAAAATCAGGATTTATATTGCATCAGTATTTATTCTGCATACTTAATCAGTATACTGCAAAGCATGGGAGCCCCTGCAATCATATTAGGGCTATTAATAGAGTGGGCTCTTATTGGCTCTGAACTGTTTGAATAGGTTGTCCTAGATCACACATAATCCATGAAAAATTATGCTATATAAGGTAATTAGACTTGGAGGTTCCATAAAACCTCCTGTTATTTGGCATATAAGTCAGTCCTCCCTGCTTCTATTCCAGAGAAATATATAGGCAACATTAAAACAAGAATATTAATGACTTATTTACATAGAACAAAAATGCACAAAGGAGGATTGTATGCATATTCTAAATTCTATATATCTTAATTTTATTAATAGTCTAAATTTGTAAGTATTGAGTGTACAAGAAAATAAGGTAGTTCAGTTCAAGACACAGGAACTACTTTGCAAATAGACAAAAGAGAAAGCCCCACCTTGTGAACATATTTGTTATTTTTGAAATATTTATTCAATGCAAATTAGTTTAAACTCACAATAAGAGAAATCCACTATCTGATAACTGATTAGTTTGTCAGGAGCTCCTATCAATTCTAGGTAAAAGCAACAATTCTCATTGTTTAGGAACAGAGTTCCATTTCTTAGGCTAAGAAGAATTTATGTTAAAATAAAGGACCATCTGTTTAGAAGGCCAACAAGTGAGATAATGAAAATAATTGAACCAAATACTAGATATTTGACCAAAAAAACTCCAAGTGACTCAAAGAAACCAACATAGACTCAAACCTATCAGTAGCTATTGGACGGATCATCTGAGCAGCAACCAAATCTAATAACTGGTTTTATTTTGGCATTTGTCCCAGAGTCATGTGATTGCCATTTGTGACCTTCCCAGTTGGCTTCTGACAAGCAAAGTCAGTGGGGGAAGCCAAATTTGCTTAATGACTGCACGATTCACTTAACAGCTACAGTGATTTGCTTTACAACCATGACAAAATGGTGGTAAAATTGGGTGTCACTTGGTTATCAAATGCCTTGCTTAGCAAGGGAACTTCTGGTCCCAGTTGTGATTGTACATCAAGTACTATCTGTATGTATTTCAGTTGAAATCTCATAGCTATTCCTGTGCAAAGCCATGTGCATCAGTTT